AAAAAAAAAAAAGAATGATTCTTTCAGTAATCCAGATCTTATGCATTCAGACAATTAACTGTACTGTACATCTTTAATAGTGTAGCTTTAAGGGTAGTAACTATTTGAAAACTGTATTACTTAATTGTTTTGAATGAAAGGCTTAGATAACTTCATGTGCCATTATTTATTAAACAACCAAATTAAAAAGAAAACTTTATGCAGAATTTGAGGTAATTCTCCCTGCAGGTCCAACCATGAACAGAAATGTCAATTTTTAAATGTAAAATAAACAATATAACAACCAAAATAACATAATAACTAAGAAGTCATACTAACTGTATACATATATACAAGACATTCACTAGACAGATTTACATGGAAGACCCCATTTAATTTGGATTTATTTTTATTTTTTAAAAGAGGACAAAACTATATACCAGGACAAATTTGCGGTAATATTGGAAATAAGTGGCATATCTTTCATCAAGTACAAGTAATATAACCAATATTGCAGGTATTCAATATGTTGTACCCATGTTTGCAATGCAAAGAGTGTTAATATCAAGATTAGATTTGTCAATAAAAATGTAATACATGTTATATTGCCGATATTGCAATCCTTGTAATAACATGGTTAACTATTACTGCAGTGAATGGCTTGCCGCTATCACTTGAATAATTGATTCATTCACTCTCCAAACTTATCTGTTCTCTCTCGGCATGTGCCGAAACATATACTTTTGTATTCTGTAAAATTATTATTAAAGCTTACCTTATATTGTTATATTGACACAAATTGTTGGTGTCTAATTAATCTCTCTCACTAATGAAGTGTTAACGTCCAATAATTTATGCAGTAATTTATTAAATAAAATAGATGAGTTGAATAATCAATCTTGCTATGAGTAAATCCTAGTGACAATGATAGGATGCAATGAATAAATACACGTTCCATATTATTCCATCAGATAATACTTTTATAATCTATACAAGAAATTTCAACATGTCTGCTACATTCAAGAAACAATCTTGCACTCCTACTCAACGTGTATTCTATCTACACTATAAAAAGTAGCTCACGCTTTCTCGTGATTGATAACCTTCTGATAGAATTACTACGCCATCAAGTCATAAGAATGAATATTAGGGTTGTGTGAAAAATCACAGCCAACTTGGTCTGTTACAAAAAAAAAATCTATGTTTTGAAAATGTAACCAACAATCTGAACTAGTCCCTCGAATCAATCATTCCCAGACCTGAGACAAAAACCCTAAAGTTCACGCATATAATTTATCTGTCACTTATCAGCAGCCAGGAAAAAACTGTATAGCTTTATTGAAGGCGCAGTCTTGACAATTTTGCTTAAAAGACTTCCTCAATCCTGTTTTTAGTGTAGGTGTTATCTTGCGCTTCCACTGACAATCAATCATGTCTAGAAAAGTGGTTTGTGTTGTCTGAGTTATTTCAATAATTTCATGGTCTTCAGGTCATCATTCACAATGATAAAATCATAGGCACTTGTGTCAGCTGTTGATAAAAAGGGGGAAAAAAA